AAGTGTAATATAATTTTTATTTATATACTCATGTCTTATTTCCACTGCTAGATTAAAGAGGGTTGGGGTTAGAGGAGGCTATAGCCCCAGGCCCCGCAATGTTAGGGGCCTTGAAAAGTCAAGAAGACCTTTTTTTTAAGTCATTTTTATGCTGTGATACATAAAAAATTATTTCTCCAAAATAAAAATAGCCCCCAGCCCCGAAAAGTCTAACAAGATTCTAATAAAACTAACGCAAGTTTTATTTAAGCTAAATTATTTTATAAATAAAAGTTTTTTTAATAACTATTTTATGCTTCGCGTAGTTTGAAAAGTTTAACATATTTGAAACAACTCTTCTTAGTAAGATGAACAAATGAAATAATTAAATCATTGAATTACTATAGAAATGAAATTAAGTAGATAGAAATCAACTAAAAAGGTTGAAAATACTTTATGACAAGGAAGCGAAACTGCTTCACAATATCGCTTGAGTAGGTTTTTTTAATTTTATTCATCTTTAATATTTAATTTATATTTATTTTTAAGTATTTAAAGCAGAAAAAGTATAAAAAGTTATACTTTTACAGAAATATATATAAATATGAATAAATATGTATAAAAGTAAACAGGCAGCTGAAGCGAAAATAATTAGAGTTAGTACAGGGTTCCCACCAGATAAAAAATTTAAATTCCAGGACTTTCCAGGAATTTTTTTTTGTTTTTCCAGGACATTTGCTTTATTAATTCAAGGACTTTTCCAGGACTTACAAAGAAAAAATTATAAAATCCAGGACTATCCAGGACGTTTTTATAGATAGTTCAAAATAACACAAAATATGCTACTAAATGTAAATTAATATAGAAATCGAATGTAAATTAAAGAAATACATTACAGCTACATAAATATAGCTACATCATTACAGCTGCATAACTAAGTGTAAATTCAAAAGACATTTGACAAGGAATTATTTTTTAACTAATTATACAAAAATATGCTTTAAAATTAAGCAGTAAAATTATTATTTTCATGAATCATCTTTTTTTCTTAATTGTACAAATCCTTGATTTCCTTTTGTTTTTCTCAACAGAGTTTCTTTTTTTCTTTTGATTCTTTCAAAATAACAAATCCACTTTGCTTTTCTGCATTTATGGCTGGCATTTCAGACTGTTCTATCAAAGTAGTTATTTCACTTTGAAATATTCTGCACTTTGCTTTAACTACCTTTTTCTCATCGTCCAAAATTTTTCGTTTTAAATTCCTACTGTTACATTCTTTTGTTCTCTTTGTGATTGCAAATACACTTTATAATGACTACTTGCTTGTTTTACATTTTTTCTTTATTAATTTCGATACTATCAGGGGATTCTTCAAAGGAAGACAAATGATCTTCAATAAAACGTAAGGCAATAAGGAATTTTTCTTTAAGATTTTCGACAAGAAGTTGTTCATTAATACTAAAGCCATGCTCAATGGAAGATTGTTTATGTGAAAGCACAAAAATCATTTTAAAAACACTTCAAACATCTTGATAAGCTTTATTTGCTACAATAAGGTCAGAGAAAAAATGATAAAAGACTATCGTTATTAATATCAAAATCTTGAAATTATTTTCGATTTGAGTCTACGAAAAATTCTAAATTCTAAAAATTTTAAATCTCTATTCTAAAAATTTTAGATATTAATTTTTCACTAGTTCTGAAGACTTTGGTGACAAACGGCCAAATTTAACTAACTTTTCAACAGAATTGAAAAATTATTGATACAAGTATTCCTTTTATTCGGATTTGAAATGAAAATTGGGTTAATAGAGAATGCAGTGCGTACTATGACAAACTTCAAAGGGGACTTCTCAAGGAGATGTATCAACAGACCAGCTAAACACTGACCTGCCTCTTTTTTAAATATAACCACTCTTTGGTCACTGTAACTTAAATTAGCTTCATCAGGTTTTAACTGAGCACATTAACCAATATCAATTTCATTTATAGGCTTTATAATATATTTATCCATTAAATTTATTTGAAGCTGCATGTATAGATTGCTACACTTATTTAAAATGTCTTTTAATATGATTCTCCTGAAAATATTGTCAACTATTTCACCAAGTATATTAACCATAAATGGAACCATAGGTTTGTCTGTTTGAAAGCATCTTAAAAAACTATTGAACTTTTCAGAAACCATCTCAAAAAATTTAAGTTTAGCTGGCAAAACAGGATCATGAATCATGGCTTTCAGTTTCTGCCAGCTTTTATTTTTTGAATCAGGTTGTTTACTTTTCTTAAGACTACTGAAATATATTACAAACTTTTTGCATCCATCAAGTAGTGATCCAGCCTTTTGAGCACATTTTTCATTTTCACACCACCTATGCCAACTAAACTGCATTGGATAATCAAGTGTCCCAGTGATGTTTTCATAGGTTGCTCTTCTACTAGAAGAGTCATGTAGAAATTGCCACATTGCTTTTAATAAAATTATTAAGCTTTTGCCCTGACTTTAAAACTGCCATGAATGATATGGAGACCACAGGTTCTAATATCTATAAGAGGATCAAGTTCTTCTTTCTCTGCTCTTTTAAAAGCAAATTTACATTTGGTTCATCTGATGACACTTGTAGAATTTTTGAATTATTTATCAGAAATACAGTTCAGGAATGTTTGCATAACATCATGTGCTGTCAAGCGCCCCATGAACTCTGAATTAAGATAACATGTTTTAACCATACTTGTATTGTCATCTTAAAATCTTACTAAAAGGTCCATTTGACCATTCTGAAAAACTTGGTTCATGGATTCATCAAATAAAACAGCGTAATAAGGTGTATTAGAAAGGGAAGTGAGCAATTCATTTTTAAAAAAGGGAGCTAATCCAAATATATTGCAATATAACTGGCCTTGGTGGACCCACATTGAAACAACTTAGCATTGTCACTATCTGGAAACATTTTAGTAAGTAATTTACTAGAATGGATTGAAGAATTTATTGAATATATAGAACACACAATATTAAGGACCCAATGAAATTCAGCTTTAAGTGTAGATGTAGTTATTAGCATTTTATTGTTTTTTGGTGTTCTGCGTTATTTGAGCATTCTGACATATACCCATTAACTTGAACAGTGTTAGGAGCAGTTGGCATCAATGACTTAATATTGTTAGCAGAAGGAGATCTCTCTATGTGCTTTTTACCTTTTATGTGTGAAGTTAAATCAACTTCTCCCACGTTAGCAATATTAAAGTTTTTAGCACAATAAAAGCAAACCACAACAGTTTCTGTTTTTTTTAGGTACCCAATGTTTAAATTTTTCCTTAATAAGCCATTTTACTTGAAAAATACATTTATTTTTAGGCATTTTATAACTATCTTATCTGAAAAAAAAAAACGTAAACATTTTAGGAGCCAAAAAGAATTTAGAATCTCTGATATTTCATACTTCTAAAAATTATTCAAAACTATACAACAATGCAATAACTAAATACCAATTGAAAAAGTATATATAAACTGTCAATATAATTATAATTTATGGAAACTATATTGATATCTTTTTAGGCATTTTATGTATTGTTGTTTTAAAAATATGTATTTCAAATAATAATAAAGTTGTTTTAAAAATATATATTTCAAATAATATTTTTAAAACAACTTAACTATGCCTTATTGTGGATGTGTAAGTTTTTTTAAAAATCTTCAAAATACAAATTTCAAAAACAATATAAGAACCAGATTTCCCATAAAAATGATACATTAGAGCAACTATATTACTATGATTTACTATAATTTGTATTGTAGTGGTATTTTTGTTGTATTGTTTTTCTTTACTTAAAAACAAACAAAATATTATCCCATTTTCCAGGACTATTCCAGGGTTTCACAAAATAATCAAAAAATCCAAGACTTTCTAGAACTACTTTCAAATTCCAGGACTTTCCAGGACCGGTGGGAACCCTAAAGTAAACCAATATCTAAAAACTTTTCTTTGTATCTAATAACTTCCTATATATATTTGTGTTCTGTCGTGACTTCAGGTGCAGTCTTGTTCATCCGCGAGTTACTTTGTATGCATGTTTGTGTTTAGTAACCAGAAACTTCTTATATGTTTATTTCATAATTAGTTTTATTGACTTTGATAATTATTAATAACTTCATTGAAAACGCAATTATTGTTGAAAGTCTATGTTTACAAAATAATTCATAAAAATTGTTTTAAAAGATTACATTAGAATAAAAATCAGAAACACAAAATTACATTTACATAAAAAATACATACTTTTAAAAAAAAAAAAAAAAGAATATACTAATAAAACCTATAATTTATAATAATCTTTCAAAATTTTAACAATTAAACAAATGTATATTTAAAACACTTATTTTTGTAAACAAATAATAATATTTCAAAAGATTTACGGCTAAGCAGATGTGGCTCTCAGAATGAGCCATAGCATTAATGTTCGTTTGATAATATATACTTAAACAATTTATGCTAAAAATCTCAATTTTTAAAACATTTTAATAGAATACTCTGGAACTTTATTTTGCTTAGTCAGCATATTTTTTGAACCAATAGAATTAGTTTATTCATAGATTTTTAGCGTTAGTTATCCTTAAATGCCTTTTATTTCAGTCATTAAAAAGGTTAACCAGGGCAAGAAGCATCAATAAAGAGATTATACAATTGTTTTGCTTTATTTTATTTTGAAATTTATATTAATAAATAAAAAATGCTCAAATTTAAACTTCAAAATGTTGATTGGAAACGTGATTCGAATCACGAATCAAGACCTGCTTTGATTCGAGATTAGACTCAAAACAAAAACTGCTGAATATATATATATATATATATATATATATATATATATATATATATATATATATATATATATATATATATATATATATATATATATATATATGTAAACAAATACATACATACATACATACATACATACATACATACATACATACATACATACATACATACATACATACATACATACATATATACATACAAACATACCTTAGTGTCCTCATCAGAATCTGAGGCTTTACAAACATAATATGAATCAATCCTCTCTGGAAGAGTTAACTTTAATGCAGCTTCAGCTTGCTTGAAAGCTATCTTTAGATCTTCTTCATTGGAAGGTTGTAGCTCATCAAACTGCTTGACATTGCTAAAATGTAACATAAATAGTATAATTATTATATAATAATATTATTAAATATATACATATACATATAGATGGCAAATTATATAAATTAGGAAAACAAGATGAAGGAAGTGAATTCCAAAGGACTGATGTTCAAGGAAAAAAACTAGACAAATAAGAATTTTTGGAACACTTAGGAACAGACACAGTAAAAGGATGAGACTTAATTGAACGAAAAGTAACACAAGATTAAAGATTTAGAAAGGAAAGGAAGTTTTCAATAATCTTAAAGATGTTACCTGATATACATTAAGAAGAGAGTTTATGGAGAAGATTAGCATGCCAAACTTTATTAAAAGCTTTAGAAATGCCAAGAGCATTTTAGATACAAAAGCTGGAGTGATACGAAGGTAAGGCAAAGAATTACCCTGTTTTTTAGCTATATCAGGTAGAAGGCGACTAGTGGAATCTAGAGATAATATTCATGAGAAGTTCTTAGCAAACAATTCAGCTTTGTCTTTAGGTGAAGTGACAATAACTGAACTATACAAAAGAGGTGGAATAACAGATTTGCCCTTGATATAGATACTGTTAGAGATTCTCCAGAAGTCATGAGAGCTTTGTTTTCAAGATGAAATACAAGATTTTGTGACCTGAGAATAGCAAGCTTTGGCGTTAGACAAAATCTTTTTACAATGGTTTTTAGCAGTAGTAAACAGACGCCTGTTTTCTGGAGAATTGTTTTGCTGATAGATATGAAAATATGGTTACAATTCGAAATTGCAGCAGTACAATGAGAAAAAAATCATGGAAAAGAGTGAAGCTAAACTTGGGATTGTCGAGACAGAATAAAAGACTCCATACCAGTCTGAATTCAAGAAGTTAAATAAGAAGCACATTTGTCAGCAGGAAGACGAAAGATTCCTACCCTAGGGCCATCATGAAGAAAATCACTTTGTTGCTTCACATCAAAAAGAACTTTATAAGTTAAGCGTAAAACGCCTCATGAATCCTAACGCAATTCAACATAATTTATATACAAACTAATTCTCTTGATATATACAATTATGTCTTTATATTATATACAAATACATCTATATACATATACAATTATTTACAAGTAACACAAATCGATTGTTAGCTTTAAAACAATCATTAAATATAATTAAACTATACATTTCCCCTTGGTCATAATGACCATCTTGTCTCAAGGACTAAAACGCTCAGGGGCCCTTCTATCTTGCGTGCTTCTTCGCAACACTGGCGTCTTGTTTGTTTTTTCACCAGGCAGCACAATGTATAATTCTTCATCATCTTCTGGATCCTCATTTAAAGGAATATCTAACTGCCGAGACAAGCTGTGTTCATATTAAAGAAAATGTTTAAAAAAAACATGTGGGCTAAATTTTTTGATTGAAACTAAATAATAAATGCATACCAACAAAATTAAAATTAGCGTTTTAGTCAAAGCTTGCCTTCTCTATTTTTTTTTTGGTTCTTGGGGTCTGTATAATGTTAGCTGCAAAATTATTCATATATATATATATATATATATATATATTATATATATATATATATATATATATATATATATATATATATATATATATATATATATATATATATATATATATATATATATATATATATATATATTTATAATTTTTTTTTTACTTGTTTTATTATTGTTTTATGTTTATTATTTATGTTGTAGAAGCCAGCCAAAATCATGTCACAATTATGCATATTTTGTGATTATTACAGTTCGCAGGCAGAGAAAAAATAAAGGCAGTATGATGCGATTTTTCGTTTTATATTTAGTTTGTATGGTTCAATAGAGTTGTTCGTTTTATGTTTAATTTACATTTAGTTATGGTTTAACTCTTTCATCACCGCAAGCCACTGGTAGCGGCTTTCGAGTATGCTTTACAATTTATTTTGTTTAGTACATAAATTTCTATTCTAGACACATAGAATTTGTTTGTTCTGAAAGTTTAATTAATTCTCTACATAATCAAAAAAAAAAAAGAGCTTTAACTGTGTAATAAAAAAAAAAAATATCACAAAGTTAAAAATTCTTGAATAATCCTTCATAAAAAAACTTTAAATTTAGTTTAAAATTTAATTTAAAATTAGTAATAAAACAGCGTTAACACTGTAAAATTAAATTGTAGAAGTGTTAAGTATTTAGTTAAGTAATTACCAAAGTATTTTGAAGAAAAAACATCATTTTTATTCATTAAATGAGGTTTATTTTGGTCTTAATGTTTAGTTAATACTTACAGAAACGATAGTTTTAAGTATTTTGCATTTCTTATTGTTTAATGAAGGTTAAAAACTTTATTATTATCGAATTTTAATTAATTGTCAATGTTATGCTATTCAAACGTTATTCAAAAATAATATGTGCGGTTGCTACAAAAAGATTTTTGTTTAAAAATTTTTGTTCGGCTGGTAGCCAACAATTTAATTATTTTTTTCTTTGTTTTTAAATTTATATTATAACTATTTCTTGTATATTTTAGTACAAATATTTGTTATAACTTTATTTAGTTTGATTTAAACGGTTATTAGTAAAATAAGTTGTTTAATATTTATTTTCTACTTAGTTCAGTTTATATGTTTTATTTAAGTCACTCAGTTTTTTTTTTTTTTTCAGTTTACACTTTAATAAAATTATTCTTTTAGTATCTAGTTTATATTTAGTTTAAACCAATACGTTTTACTGAAAATATTCCTTATATACTAAATTTTTATTTTTATAAATTTAATTTTTAATTGTATCATAAACTTTTTTTTGAATTTAGTAAAAAGTTATACATGATTTGGTTATTTTGGCAATAAAATAATACAACATTTTGAAAGAAAAAATGTATACAATGACATCATATACCGAAACTGTTATGAATTAACACGCATGAAATAAATTATCAAGTCTGCAGATTGCGGCTAACATTATACAGACTACGAGAACCAAAAAAAAAATGGAGACGGCTAGCGTCGACTAAAATGTGAATTTTAAATTTAATGGTGTGCATTCATTACAAAGTTTTAATCAAAAAAATTTAGCCCAAATGTTTTTTTTAAACATTTTCTTTAATATGAACGCAACTTGTCTCGGCAGTTGGGGTTCCCTTTAAATCATTGTCACCTCTTACTTGTCCAAGATCTTCATTTGAAATGTTGTCAACTCTTACTTGTCTTAAGTCTCGTACATGTCAACACATTTTGTTCACTTCTATCGTTTACTCCGAGATTATCCCTGTAATTATTCCAACCTTATTTTGAGAGTCACATCTTCTTATAAGAATCATGTGCATTCTTATTGTTGTTAATTCCTCTTAATCTAATTTCGTATTGACATTTGCAGGTGCAGTAGAAGACTTACAACTATCTTTTGGACTAACGTTATACCAAACTGCCTCCAGTATGCTGCATGGAACTGTTTATACAAAACAGAACATTATACAAAACTGCCTCCAGTGTGCTGCACTCTCTTCGCCATTCTTTTGACAGTTCGGTGACATTGTTCTGCAATTCCATTTCCAGAAGGTACATAAGCGCACCTGAAGTTTAACGTCCCATTTATTTTCAAACTGCAAAAAAATATGCTCCGAAACGTAGTATGATTGTCCGTCAGTATTTCATCCCTTCTCGTTGAGAAATATCGCATTTAATTCTTGAATAACACATGCACTGGTTTGATGCGTTTCTCAACCACTTGTTTTACTTCTTCCTTGCTCACTGACGGGTCAATTTTACGAATAAAGCACAATGTTTTTTTTCACGCCATAATGTCCTGTAGATCTATCAACGCTCTTGATTTCTTTAGAAGATAACGAAGTACTAAGAATGACACTTGCTGCCATTTCAGGGGGTTTATCAAGCAATTTTAACCAATTAGTCTAGTAAGGGCCAATTAGTCTAGTAAGGCCAAGTTAAATTTCGAAGCGACAAGCTTAATATCTACATTGAGTTGGTATTCTTCCACTAAATTTGCAATACTCTGGAGTCTTCTTCTTATCAGCTTTTTTTTTGAAGCTTTTGTCCTCAATGTAGATTTTCCCATAAGTGCGTGGGTAACCCAATGGAATACTGCTTTCAAATCAGTGCAGATGTGCAAAACTTCCATTTTCCAGTTAAGGCCCATATTTAGTTCACTAATTACTGCTTCAAGGTCTAACAAGTTTATATGTGTTGTGCACAAACTGGAAGATTCCCTGTCATTTTTCCACTCAAAGGAGAGATGTTATGTCTTTGTAGTGAATTCGGAATTTCACAAAAATCATTATCTCTTCTCCAAAACAACTTTTTATTTTCCATTCCGACTTGTAAACCAATAACTCTTGCTCCATCAGATACGTGGACCACCAGCTTGCAATGAAACTCAGATTTCCAAATAATCAAGTACGCGACATACAGGTATTACGTCTTCATTCACAAAAATATGTATGATGATGCTCCTTTACAGATTGTTTCGTCTTGCGATAGCACTTTGTCCAACACCGCTTAAATTATAACTGGCGCAATGTTTAGTTTGGATCTCAAACATGTTAAACAAAATCTTTGTCCACAGAACGCAACAGTTTGGTAAGCCCAGAGTTTCTCATCAATTTTTAGTTGCATGTAAGCTGAAGATAAATCAATTATTAAAACATTATCTCCACTGTCTCCAGTCTCGAAGTTTGTCAGCACACGCATCTGTGTTCGCAGTGAATGATTCAGTAAACGTGTTCAGCTCCCTAAAGTCTAATATTGGTCATACTTTTCCTTTGTTTCGCTGCACCACTGCCATAAGAGGAACCAAACCCATTATTGGACCTTGTTTCTTAAAATCTTATTTTTGCAGCCATTTCTCTATCCACTCTTCAATTTCTTTTTTATAACCGTGTTTTATGCAAATAGCCATAAAACATGCCAAATATAATTACACTTTATACACTAAAAGAATCCCAGTTAGCTTTAAGGTAGTTGTAAGAAGAATGATCATAGGGGGATTCTGATGATAAAGAAGAATGATGTTA